GTCACATTTTATATAATATTGTTTATTGCTTTAGTTTATAGCTTTATAGTCTATTATAGTTAAATAAGTAATATCTAGATACTTTTTTTAGAAAATCTAAATAATATATTGAAATCTTTAGAAAATCTAAATAATAGCTTTTTTAGAAAATCTAAAAAATATAAATATGATTTTATTAAAAGGATTTATAATGATTTTAGAATTATAGAAATTTATATAGATTTATTAATATAATTCTTATTTTATAATATTTCAATATATTATTTAGATTTTTTAGATTTTCTAAAAAACGAAAACTCAATAGAAAAAAAACATTAAGAAATTCAAGAATAATATAATAGATATACTTTATCTTTAATTATATATAGTTTCTTTTTAGCGAATTGTTTTTTTTCAATCGCATTACCTTACGCATTTTGGGCCTAACTAGGGCTTTACTTTACGTAAGGTAATGTGCTAGTTAGGCCAAGAGAAGTTTGCATGAGGTGTCCTGTCAATGCCTCAATTTCTCTCGGTAAAATCACGTGGAGCAGTACTACTGCATGCAAACCACACTCTAGATTCACCAGTGTAACATTTACAAATTTGATCTTTTTGTTTCCAATACTTACAACAATAAACCCTTAAGCTTTGATGACCCAGTGTCATCCCCACACCATTTTGGCTTGCCATAAATTACATTGTCCTGGAGGTCCAAGACCTCAAACCTCAATACAAAGCGTGTATTGAGAGTGATTGATACAGTGGTAAGTCCTGTACTTCTCCATCTACTCCATTCAAAATTCATGAACCAAGAAATTTCAATCTCTTGAGTACTTTTCTGGGAATCGAGAAACCTTCTTTACTTGATTTTGAATGAACTTGAAGTGCTAATCACTCTTTGATAGGATTTCACAGCACGATTTGTGCCTCATCTCAAGTCTTATTCTTCTTTGAACTTTCTACAACTTGCAGTCTTTCAGAAAAAACTATCAAATTATCCCAAAATGTCGGCAATCGATGTTGAAGCACCTACCTCATTTACCGTATTCGAGAAGCTCCCCCTCGAGATGCAGTGCGATATTTGGAAGTTCGCTTCCTTCCTCCCTCGAGCTGTTGCGATCGAGGTCAAAAACTTTAATAATGGCTATGAGCCTGCCAGTTTGAAGTGGTTCAGATGGACGTCAACTACTGCTGTACCTGCTCTCTTTAGTGTTTGTAGGGCGTCTAGACATGAGGCTGAGAAGTATTACAAGAGATCCTTTGTCGCCAAACAACATAGTGATTTCGGTTTCGAGATCACTCTTGTCCCGAGATTTTACATCAACCCCGAGAGCGATATTATCTGTCCACTTGTTAAGACCATGAGTACTCGTCATGGGCTTTTATTCAGTGAGAATATTCGTGATCTTGAGCTCAAGCACGTGGGACTAGATGATGGCGCGTGGGATGGATATTGGAGGAACAACAATAAGAAGGTCCTCGATCTAAGAGACGAATGGAACGATAACAAGGATGACAGCTACATGCGAGAGCTTTGTGGATACTGGAACCCCATCATTCCGCTAATCGTGGACGCATCTTACAAACTGGAATCAATCACAATCTACACTTGCCGCAGTGGATATGACAATACCAAGCCTCTCAAACTCATTCCTCTGAATAAAAGGTTTCTGGGACGTCGTGAACAACATAGGGCTGACATCATCGAATATGATATCACCAAAGTATTAATTCATAACCTGAGAGGATGGATAAACAGGCAAATCGAATACGACGTGGCTGCGGAGATCCATGATCTGGAAAGTGAACCTGTGTATTGGAGTGTAAAGCCATCGCCGGGTTATACCGAAAGTTATCTCAGAGAGTGGATCTCCGATGACATATACGGTCAACCTCCAGAATCATTGCCCAAATGGGTACCTCCTCGCGTGGAGCGAATGATGACAGAAGACATATGGGCCTTGCGCCTGCGAAAATCTGTCAAGAAGCCCTCTGATAAACTATGAGATATGACTTCATGTCAATTGCCCCTCCATGCTATTGACTTTAGATACATGAAATTTCGGTACGTTCAAAACCTTGAGTCCGCATACTTGTGTGTTTCAACTCTGACAGAACTTGCCTGGCATAGTATAGGACAAGATTTGCTTAAGCACGATCTCAACATACTTGTGTATCATAAACTGGGGCATGGATTGCTACAATCATTCGAATGTAGTTTGGGAATAGGTGTCAATGAAGTGTGAGAGACTTCATTGTCTAATGGGAGAGAGTTCTTTCTATATTGGAGACTAGGTATTTTCTACGGATGGCTAAATATGCTGAAGTAGACATGAATGAACAGCAGATTAATATTAAAACTTGAAGTCAAATGTGTAAGCAAACCGTAAGCCTCAAATATATACTAGGCTTGTCAGCTCCAGTTTCCATAGCTTTGCCATCCAGTCACAGGCCTACCATCAAGATTCGATGACTGTGACTATGCCAAGATTTTCATGCCGCGCTATCCAAAGTTAAATCTTTTATGTGACAATCTTAGAGTTGTGCGTACAAGTGATCATGGAAATCATTCTCTGAGCGTGACATTCAACAGCACGCGGGGAAATTAGTTGCCAGCTCAAGAACACCATAATGAAGCTCAGTTTCAAGGAAAATCTAAAGGTCTCTCTCCGTAAACGTTCAAAATGTCTCGTCCCTTATTTATACGCATTGAATGAAAATAGAAAAGACCTAGAGATCACATCATGCGACGATGATAGGTCATTCAACCAAGATCCTACAACCACAAATCTACACTTACGGTTTGTTAGTAGCAATCACAGGAAAGGGTTATATAAGATCAATTTAATGTTACATCACTGTCCCTCGAGACATATATAGACTCCCTTTCTTCATGTAATGCAGTTGGGAGAAGCTCTTGCCCTGTCTCGTGTTTATGCTACACAAGAAATGTCTAGATTTCAGTGCTGAAATTGAATCTGATTAACTATTACGGTATTACCCACGTCATGGGGGTGAGACTTTGTCTGCATAGTTTACACTATTGATTACGTATAAGTATTTCTAGTTTTGAACTCAACTACTTCTTCTACATATTCTCAAGTGAACATTTTCCCTGATTATGACTGGCTACTATGATATAACAGCTAAATTATCACAAAATACGTCGATAATACACTCATACTCGTTAGTCCGAAAGCTTCACACATACATATTCATGTCACTGACATTGTTTTCGGGAGCATAGAGTTGCAGATCATTCATCGTATTGATTGTGCCTAGACACCACTCTTATCGTAGCTTCATGATTTAGCTCAACAGAAATGGAAGCTCTCTCTCGTCATTATCCTTCATTACTTCTCTTTTACGTTTCACCGATTCTCCCCCCAAATAACCTTCCACAGATATTTGTCCACTAGCGCATTAATTTACATAAACTTCTCCTCATGCATAACAATATTGTCACAGATTGAAGATCGAAAGATATCGAGTGATCTTTTCCTCCGTATCCTACATTTCTTTAGAACCAAAATCTGAAGTTTGAAGGAGGGTCGAAGGATATCATAACTTACTATGGGAATATGTGTGCAACCGACATTGCAAAACCAACCATACAACGACAAAAACGCCAAATCCATCATTTAAGACCCATCCGAATGAAAACAACCACCACTTGTGCGCCGAGAGAAATCCACAAGAATGTCCCAACCACACGTGACCAAAGTACAACCCATCACTGGCGTCGATGATCTTAGTAGCCGCTATGAAGCCAGCATACCACTACGTCTCAGTACCATACGCGAAACAAAGCCGACCAACTTGGAGTATGAGTCTCGACCATCAGCTGGAAATCGGGGACAGACCAATTATTCCCAACATCAAAGAGCCATTGAGGAACACCGGCGAGCTTAATCCGAAGTCTACCTTCATTCTGCGCGGCTTCATTCTCTTTACACTGGTTGCGGTGTAGTCTAACGATCTTGTCGACAGCTTTTTCCGCTGCGTCGCATTGTCGCATATTCTTAATGCTGTGCTGGGGGTTGACAAAGAAACATGTGGGTTCCCGGGGTTTGAAAGATAGTTCTACATCCGCAATTAATCTTTGCGTTGTGATGTAGGAGAAGATATCTTCGATATGGGGGCTCCATTTGTGAATATTTTGCTTGTGGAAGAACGTTGACCATGACTTCAAGTTGTATGTCAAGTACTCAGCGCAATAGTTACTGACTGCGATCTTTGAAACTTTGAGGATGTCGAAGAAGATTTTGGAGCCAACCTCAAAGCTCTGTGAGCTCCAGTGGCCAACGGGACAAAATCGATCGACTGCAGGGTTGAACCAAAGTTTCGGGTCAACGTGTTGTACCAGTGACATGTCGTTGGCAATTAGACAGCCGTCGATCACACTGTAGCGTTGTCGTGCCTGTAAATAATACTCTTTGCAGGCCAGGTAACACCCTGGAATGGGAATTTTGGTTTCGAATTTAAATCCTCCAGGGCCTATTTGTCGAATAACTCTGACCGGAACATTTCGGGGGTTGAAATCGAGTGCTTGTTGCCAGATCATTATCTGGATTTCCGGAGCAAGGTATTTGAAGAGAGGGAATGACTTTAAGATGCCATCCAAGTAGTAGATTGCTGCTGGGAGGGAGGCGTTGGATGCAATACATGAGAATCTTGCTCGAAATTCAGAATGAGGAGATGCTACATCCACACTTCTAGATCCAGAGGGTCCAGGAGCCGCGTTTGGAGAAGTATTGGATACTACATTCGTGTTCGTAGAACTGGAGGATGCTCTGGTGGTGTTTGTGGGAGTATTGCATGCTCGAGTCGCATTAGTCGTACGTCGAGATGAAGAATTTGTCGCATTGATAGTTGTACCGGATCGGAGCTGCATGATTCGCGGTCAAGAAAATAATCTGGAGTAAAAAGGAGGTTTAATAGGAGTGTCCAAAGTTGTCAAGGGAGGATCTTCCTTAGAAGTGGAAGTTCAGTAACAGAGGCGGTTTTGAAGGAGGTTGTGTGTTAACAGAATTTTAGGAATCGAATCTCTACAGATGAATGGCAGTATTTATATAAAAATAACTTGCAGATACGTCTCAGTAGCACTATACAGTACGGCACGTATAATACAAGCCATCCAATTGCGCAGATTAATGAGCACCTTGCGAGCGCTAAACAGGCAAATCTACCAACTTGCTGCCGTATCTAATACAGCTGGTATCAAATTACCTGGCAGTACTGTATTCTTGTACGTACGGGGCTCATGGCAACGAGTTATTGATGAGCATATCCTACATATAGTCTTCATGGTCATCTTGTAAACATCAACAACCTCTTCCAAAAACATCGTCTTGTAAAATCATCCAACGACTCCCATTACGGTTGTCTCCTGGACTACCTAGAACATAACTTTTGACCACAACATCTCGACATCTTCGTCTTCAATAACTTCAGCGACAAAGACATATTTGCAACACCTACCGAGCCTCTTCGACTCCGAGATAACAAACTCAGTCAATCAAATAGATACAATGTGCTATTCGGCTCCATCGCCCGCAGTACGCTTATCTCAAGCCTCCCCTTCATTGGCAGTAGCTTCCAGTGAAAAGAGCTCTAAGACATCGAAACTCGAAGCTCTCCCTGAAGAAATATATGCTATGATCTGGGGCGAGACTATCGATACCGTCGAGGGTCAAAATGTCCTAGTTAGATGCCGGTCAATCGGTAATAGCTTTGAAACATACAGCGATGAACCGAAGTTCAACGGATTCGGCGTCTCCCGCAAGTCTCGGGAGTGGACAAAGAGCCAATACAATGTCGCCTACCTCGCGGAGCTCAGAGGCTATACCGGACCGCTCACGCCTCTCGAAAATCTGTGGCTCAATCCAACGTGCGATCGCTTTTGTCCTGTGATGGAACACGAATGGACACCAGAGGCCTTTGCAGTTGCATGTGAGGTGATGAGGGTAATTAAAGTCTCTCGCATTGCCGTCAGCGACTGCTCGCACTCGACCGGCAGCCTTAAAAGTCCTTGGACTTCATTCTACTGCATATCCAACGTCGAAAACTGGAGCTTGAGCTACAGAGAGATCTTCATGTACACGACCAAGCACAACTTAGATGCACATCAAGAAGCGAAGTTTGTACCATGGTCGACTGTAAAGATTGACCTTAATTTCCTCCAGCAGCAATGTAGGGGAATGCAATTGTTCAAGGCAAGATCTACCTTCAAGATAATTAAGGCCGCCGAGAAGGCACAAGCTAGGGCAGATGAGATCGCAAGGTCAAAGCAGGAGAAGAGAATCAAGGTGGACGGAACACCTACTTGGCTATTTGAAAATGGGATGAAGGGCTGTGAGCTAGAGCCGAAGATGATAGTTGAAGTTAGATCACTTGATATTTGGAGTGGGTCCCTTATAGAAAACAGTTCCGAAGATGAGAGTGAGAAGGATGAGGACTCAAAGGTGGATGAGAGCGAGGAAGACGAGAATAGCGGTGATGATGTGACAAATTGATGAGTGGAGGATGAAAAAAATGAAGATGACGAGAAAATGAAAAGTTAGAGGAGCATGAAGGCATTGGGAACGAAAATAGTGGAGACGAGAACATCCATGATGATGCTGGATATGGATCTTTGGGCTATCAGCTGCATGAGGGTATGAGACTTTGGAGTGACAAGGTTATTGACAGATTCAACTATCAAGAACCGTCCAGGACCTAACACTAAATGGGATATTGACATATTGTACAATGGATTGAGTATGAAGACCCTGATATGAATACATGGGACCATACCTCCTTCGCCCTCGACGTCACATGGAAGTTCAACGATCTGACGGAGTGTTGCTTTTACGCTGTGTGGTACCAGTGTCTGTTCGGAAATGACCTATGTGTAAAAATCTTGACAGAATACCAGCAATGAAAAAAACAAGTATAAATATTTAACTACAAAACGTATGAAGGAACGTGATATGCATGATGAATATTGTGAATTGCTGGTGAGTATAAACCATCTATCATTTATGTTTCAGGTGAGCCCAAGCGGTGAGCAGTAGTAGAGTAGAATAAGCATTATTATATTGAGCTTGACTGCTTCACTCAGGATTTTGCTCCATGGAAAATATGCTTTGGATTTGGGACATACTTTGACCCAAATTCCATCCAAGACCTTTATTATATTGAAGATAGTTCGGAGATGGTTGTTATATAAATTGAGACAATAGCTCACAGACACCAGCATGTGTTTCTTTCCCATTGTTGTATACCGGTATATGTATCTTGGTTTTGATTAAATCAGCAGACTTCTACAGCATTTCTTTCCCGAGCTTTATATGCCTCATTCCGCTTTATGAGATATACCACGAGGTTACAATTGCTTTTGGGTTGTTGATCCCAAACAAAAGTGTAACGTGCACGCAAGACGTAGAAATTTAGGTAGGAAGTCAGTTACTTCAGAAGAGACCAATTGTTGTGGTAATCATTAGTGAATCTTGCTCGAAAGAGTTAGCTGATCGATTCATGCACCAAAGATAAGCCAGACTAAGGTGCACATAAATAGAATAGGCTCTGGTACAAAAAATATTCTTTTACTAGGAGAAGAATAACACACGACTGCAAAGTACTGTGTGTTCGTTATCCTTGGTAAAGATTCTTGTTGGTTGTAGAATTGAAAAAGTAAACACCAAAGAAACCATAAGCAAAAGCATGCTGCATGGCTCACTCCTTCCAAGTCACCCTATCCCACCAGTCTTAATATGTATTGTTTTCGCGATATTCTTTCTTTCAATTCTTTGCAATCTTTCAAATCCCAATTTCAAAAAAAACACTATAGAATTCATCGGTGACTAAACAAACTGCCTAACAACTAAAAACCAACTACCGGTACATCGGTTACTAATTACTCTCTTTCACTCAAAACACTCCGGTATATTCATTTTAGAGCTCCCTTCAAGTTTCCTTAACCTTCTGATCAAAATGATCCAAATACGAAACATATCGCCAGGCATATCTATTGTGAAAGAAATGGCGCTAATAGACTTGTTTAATATATAAGATCCAATATAGTGGAATGTATACTCGAGTAGTGGAATTAGAATTTGTAAGATTACTTCAGTAAAGGGTTTGAAGATATAGATTGAAATTGAAATGTGACAACCCTTCTCTGTGGATTGAGTGATTGAATATTGGTTGGTACAATTGTATGGATGTGTCGGGAGATATTCATTCAAGTATATTGGGGCATTTTAGCTGCATGTGTTGGGATATATACTGTGTAGTGATTGTGCAGATAACAAACTTTTGGTTCCAATAGCATGGTAGACGCAAGCTGGATGAGAATGAGGAATTTCTTATATCCTTATGTTGTAGGTGAATTTGTCATTGTTACTTGGATATATTGTGATGTGGATGGAGTAAGTGATTTCACATCGTCATAGATTGCCTCACCAACAGTCTCAACAATCTGAAGACCACCCAATAAGACCATGAGTTTTGCTTTTGATATATGCATTAAACATTTACAACTAATATGATGAGAACTTTAACTACAGGTGATACTAAACATCATCTTAATTAACATATCCTCCTCGCCATTCCCCAGAAACTTCATCTAAATATCTTCCTTGATCAAATCTGCAGCTCTCTCCGCTACAGCATACAAAGTACTAACCAAATGTCCACAAACTTGCATAGGCAATATACTAGCATCCACAACTCTAACATTTGCTGTTCCATAGACCTTCAATTTCGAATCTACAACTCCACCAATCTCCCTTGGCATCATCGCAGCGGTTGCTACTGGATGGAAGTTAGAACGATAAACAGTTTTCAACCACTCGAACCATTCTGCTTCAGTTGCGTTTGCTGATACTTCGTCCAAACCTGGTTTGGTTTCCGATCCAACAAGAGGAGCAAGCGGAGCAGTAGCGAAGACGGAGCGGATGAACTTGGCAGTGCTGATTTGTGACTTGATGTCCCAATCAAACATGTAGTAATTTGGGTTGATAGCCGCAGGGATACCTGGGACGGCAGAAGTGATGTGAATATTTCCTCGCGCAAAGGGTAACAGGGCCCAGTACTGGGAACTATAACTAGTTCCAGATGGAGTGATGAGAACCTCAGCCAAAGGAACTGGATGAGAGTCGGAAAAGATAAAATCATGTTGAATCTTGAAGAATTCTAATAAATCGGCGGCTTTGGTAATGTTACCTGATGCAGCAGATACTTGAGCAGCATATGAAGGAAGAGACGAGAGAACTTGAGCAGAGACGTTCTGGATCTCGGAACCAAAGATTTGCGCAGCGGATGGATAGGCAACGAAGCTGATAGAGTCTAAATCTGAGATACCCTCCGCAGTAGTGTATGCAAGGCCAGTGTTGGTTTGATCCTGAAGATTCTCGCCAACGGTTGGGAGATCAACTACGACTGGGATGTTGTACTTGTCCAGAATACAAGGATTTCCAATACCGGAAAGCTCGAGAATGAGAGGGGATGCGAGAGCGCCGGCGGAGAGAATCACTTCGGAATTGGCGGAAATGGTATATGGGGTGCTCGAGTTGATGGCAAGAACCTCAACACCACTTGCAGTAGGGGTATCAGCGCCGGATTTCCAGGTAAGTCGTTGAGCCATGGTGTTAGGGTAGAGATGAAGGTTGGTACGGTTCGCGATTGGATAATAATATGCTCTTCCGGCGTCATGACGGACGTTCAAGACTTTGTCGTAGGTGGATGGGTAGATATTGTATCCGACCATTCTACCATTGTTGACATCCTGGTTCCAGGAAACATTGAGAGCAGCATAGGTATCATTCAAAGTGGTGTGAAAGTTACCAGTGCTCATGGAGTTGAGCCAACCAGTTTTCAATGGCCCATCAAATCCATTTGCCGAAGGTTCGTATGAAGCACCTGCGTCGGCTTGAGCAGTGGTAGGAATCTCAAGCGATTGAGATTTCTTGTAATATGGGAATAAAGTTGCCCAATTCCACCCTTCGTTTCCAAGAGCTTCCCAAGCATCAATCTGAATATCTTCAGCTCGAGTATATGAATCCCCTGCGTGTGTTAGAATGGTATGATCAATGGATGGGATTGCCTAACGTACCGTTGATTGTGCTAGTTCCTCCAATCGCTTTCCCGGCTCGCATAACTTGGGTGATGTTTCCTGCATACTTTTGATTGGTGGTTTGGTAAGCCCAATCGATGTCGGATCCAAAAGCCAATCCGTAACCGGATGGATTGGTGACATTAGGATTATCTAGGACCGAATCACCCGCTTCAATCACGGCCACAGTGACATTTAACTCGGATAGACGGTTGGCAATGACAAGACCACTTGTTCCAGCACCAATGATAACATAATCATATGTTAATTCAGCGCTCGATGCAGCAGCCAGGGAGGCTAGTGCCAAAGCTGGAAGTGAACGATACATCATGGATGGGACAGTGGAGAAGGAGCGAAAGACCGAAAGATGATATTGATGAGTAGATGAAAGGAAATGAATAAGTATGAGATCCAACCTGAACTTATAGATTCATTACCTCTTGTTTCTTTCACCAGTTCTCGAGCTAGGTAATCTCGAGTTTTCTATTAAAGTGGAGTATATAAAAAAAAGATCCCCCTCTAAGGAATTGACAGCATGAATAAGTTATTTCGCAATCTGACCAAGCAATCGTTGTACTCCATATGAGACAGATTAAGGTTATAAGGATTGCCAAGGAACAAGCATCAACTAGGTATGTTAATCTATGGGTTCTGTCAGTGCTTCTACTCAGCCTTCTACATCTGGATTCTCGGGTCTTGTGTAACTCGTAGGTATCACTTACTGGGTATGAAGTTCATACTATGAACCTTAAATTTCTTGATTGTGACATTGACAAAAGATTTGTTACGAACCTCACTTAATTATCAAAAAGGGGGTCTTAGCTAAGTGTCTGTACTCAATGTTCAATCATTAATGCTGCCAGAAAGTCCATAACTTCGAACTAATGAAACTAGGATATTTGCTCCTACCATTCATTGTACGAGTACTTTCTGGTGGCATGGGTACAGTATATACCGTCAAATCATCATCATTACCACCACCACCGCCACCACCACCACCACTACCGAATCAGTACCGACCGACATGCATGTCAAACTCCTACGGGACGATCCGCAAGGACCGAGTATCGTATCTCATGTGTGTAGGTTGTAGGTTTAAAGTTATCTCCTAACCGGTACGCCTAACGTGACACACAGGACCATAACATCAAAGCAAGAAATCAACAGTCTGAACATTCTGATATACACAATACAATGAAACAAATCATCAAAATCAAAAATCAATGAAGATTCGCAATATGGAAAGATTTTCCAGAAAGATGGGACAAATGCCAAGGCCCTTGGATGAAAGTTTTCATCCCACCCAGCTATAAAATATGGAGAACGCAATTTAAAAAGATTCAATTCGACAGAGATCCTTTATAAAACTTTATCTTATCAATCTCTAATCTCCCAAGTAACCGGTCCGAAACATATGTAAGGGACCACCATCCATGATCCCTCCCAGGTTAGAGAGCATTTGATAAGCCATCAAAAGATCCACAAAGCATCCGCAATCATTACTGTAATGTTTATAAAGCAAGAACACAACAAATTCAAGTTAGGTCGGCGGCGTGGGTAAGTATGTAAAATAAAGGGGCTGAATTGCAATTGGTATACATTATACTCATACAAACGGAAGAACAACGCATTCCTAATACTGTAGTTACAACTTACAATAGATTTCTCGCCACACGGTTCGCCATAAGGAGAACAATGAAAAACGCAGCACGCCGAGGACTTGTTGATAGCAGGGAGTTTCTCTCAAACGCCGATACCAACTCTTCGTATCCAGTGGGTACTGTATGTGGCCGACCAACTGGTAACCTTAGGGCTATCCAATTTGTACCCGTTTAAGTCCACAGCCCCCAAGTCGGACGTCCGTCTTTTATTCTTACTGGTCCGGTCCGGTGAGCGCGCCGTAATCTTCTTACCGTACTTCAGATAATCTCCGTGAGTCTGGCTGGGACATGTAGTACGGTATGTCTCGCCCGTCGTTTATCTCTCTGCTACGATATTAAATCTATCATGCCCGTTCTTGTTTTTGTCAGCCCTCCAAGGAAGTTGAGGAGGGAGCCGAAGTAGCAGCGCACGAAGCTTGGTTCATCAGGTCGAGCCCTGTTCGTTTATTGTTCATATAACTCATTCGGGCAAAGTGAGCAATCATATAATGGCACATTGCGAAACTCTCCGACATTCCTCAACATGATGACATGCTACCAGTGTTCAAATTGGGCTACCTTTAAGCAGGTTGAATAGCATTGCTCATTCTTGTCTCTGGGCTGTTTGGAGTTACACTCAGTTCTGCCAAATCTCATCCACATTTTTTGTGTGTGTCAATCATGCATAGAACAAACACCATTCGAAGATAGTATAAGTTTGCGTAATGGCTATTGGCTTCGTGCTTTGAGCCATTAATGACGTCAAATCGTTCTGTCTAGAATGCTTTGGAAAAACTTTAAACAAGCGCTTACTGTGGAGTATCGATAAACATCGGAGTAGTAGCTCCAAGTCTGTAATGTCATGAATATGTGCGGCTCTTGCCATGGCATGGTGGTTCATTTTGTATTGTGCTTGGGAGGGACCTGTTGTGCAATGCTTACTGGTCGAGTGACTCACTTAAGGTCTAGCCAACTTCGACTTCCCCCAGGGGGAGAAGGGCCTTTCCACCGCACAAAGGGCGAAGAATTATCGGCAGGCCAAGCAAGGTATAAGGGCCGATCTGAAAAAAGAGAAGGAGTTTGACGTCTTCGGGAAAGTGACAGTCTAATCTGCTCAGGGGCGTTACAAGTATATGCTTGAGAGCCTTCTGCTCGTCCCAAAACTTCTACTGTCCGGATCCATAACAGATAAATTAGCCAGATACTGTTTCTTTGAGCCGCTCCATTATCTTATGAAGTGGGAATAACTTTATCTCTACAGGTCTTCAGCTAAAATAAATGCCTGATCTGTCTTCTATAGGTCAGACTGGTAGAGATACCAAGTGGGTCCATTCTGGGCTAATCACCTAGCTTTGTGCTATCGCGAGGGGCTCGTATCTATGAAAGACGACATCTACGCTTTTAGATATGTTATTAGAGATGTATTCTCCGTGATACTTACACAATTGTGATGCCAAGCTTGCTGTACTACATACTTACCCTGATAACTATGTATCTTCAAGTCATGTCAGATTTATCGCATATTTCCTGTCCTTGGGATATTGTGATTAATCCTTCTCAGATTTCAATACCGGATTTTGACCGTATACGACGTAGCTATTCAGTCAGTTATGCAAGTGGAAAATCGATAAAAGACACATACAATGGATAGTAAGGATGGTTTCTCCTATCTTTAATTTCTTTTTTCACCTCACCGATAAACACTCTCGATTCCTCCAAAGTGCAGCCAAGCTTCTTGAAAATGCGAATACTCATATCTTCCAATCCATTCATGAAGCTGTCAAGTTCAAATGCGGCCAACCAACTTGAGTCGAGGATCTTCAGGCCATAGCCCATAGATTAGAAGGAATTTTGTATTTCTTTTCTACAACAGCTTCAAACTCCGCTCATTCAAGCCATTTCTTATATGAAGCTGGATCTTCATCTTCGACGGTGTACTAAATTCGAGAGCTGCAGCTCGAATGTTTTTATCATATTGCCGAAATTTACTTTCAGGAACTACTGGTAATGTATTGTCATCACAACCTAGAACACCATGAATGCATTGTAATTCTATCTAGCAGCCAGGTTTGATGTGTCTGAGTAGTTAGCATTGGTGCAGATTGCAAGGAATATACCTACTTATAGCATTGAGAGATCAAATTTGGCTAGTTCCTGAATGAGAAAAGTAAATCACTTGCGAAAACGAAATCGAGAGCATCAGATTTCCAAGTCCAAGGTTGGGTGATGTCTTCGACTTGAAATGGGCAATTTGGCGGAACCCCAGAGATACAATCAGATCAAAACGATTTGGAGATTTTTATAACATCGGTTCATGTTATTCTGAAAATAGTTCACCATCGTGATTGTATAAGAGCAATATCTACACCAATAACCATTCAACTTGTCAGTCAATTCATCCTACCACTTAAAAAGCAGCACACCACTCACCTCAGCAGATGGATACGCATCAGCAAGATCAATACTCCAAACTCCAAACTCCTGCCATGAATTAGCTTTAACATCTTCTCTCCGTGCTAAGTATTGCGCAAATTGCTAAAATACCAGTTCCAGTACCAGTGATCTTTGTTTAGAAAACCCGCAAGTGCCTCATGATCCATCGTAGCGGCTCGTATTCTCCATATTCCCCGAATGGATTGGTGGGATACGACAAGGTTATATTCGGAGTATGGGGTTGCATTCGGCAGTATATCCGGTTTTCTAAATTAATTAATCGAAGATGAAGCGCAAAAGAGAACGGTTCATCCCACGTTCGATTGGTGGAAGGGAACTCCATTGTATGAGATGGTATGACGTGGCGATTTGGTATACATACCGATGCATCTTCTGCATTAGCAGATATCTAGCTTGATATCTCTCACACTTGGTGATTACTGGAGTTAGTTCTGTGATGGCTTCTTCTGTGAATTAGATATTTTTCAAATGAATATCTGTCTGTATGAGCTTACCAAGGGCCCATATGCTTATGGTTACGGACTAGAAAATAAAACTGATTAGGAAGCAATTTCCATCCTCCAGAACGTCTACACATATCCAATAACAATAATGTTAACCAAACATGGAAAGACAGTCTTCTATCACTGTCATATATCCATTTACTTCTCTCAAAAACGAAGTGGAAGCGGAGAAAGAGAAAGAGAAAGAGAGACAGACCATCTTTGGTGGATTGGATATTAGAGGTGAAAGAGCTCAAGATTTGATTGCATTGCTATGTACTGAAGTATTGAAAATGAAGCTCCAGTTGAGTTCGGTACAAACGTGTTTCAGGAGGATAAACTGACTGGATGCTTTGGAAGCGTGACCAAGGAAGATATTCCAAATCCTGACAAAACGAAAAAGGTTTGTGAGTTTCAAATACTGCAATCTGTTAAAAGTACCGACAGGTGCTTGTTTGGTTCAAGGGTGGAAAACGAGGTATAGGCAGGTTTTGCGTCACAGATAATTTACAAGTAGGGGAGCGGGAGAAACATCAGCACCGGCGAGACGTTGGGGGATCTCACTTATGAAGCTGCTGTTGAGGGACAAAAAGGAGAATAGAAGACATCCGATGTATTCTTCACGATTTCATTTAACCAGTCTGTATCCAATTTCTCAAAAACATACATAGCATTCGCTATGTGTCCTATATCTCGCGTCATGATTGCCGATATATGACGACCAGAGAATACAAACCGAACAGATCTTGGCA